TGGGAGTTGAAGTTCACTCATCTTAAAGTGGCCAAGTTTGGACAACACTGTCCTATGGGGACAGGCTGAAGGAACTTGGGACGTTCAGTCTAGATCAGTGATGGCGAACCTATGACATGCATGTCAAAGGTGACACGCCACAACATTTTGGGTGACACGCCAGTGTTCACCAACACCCGACAACAACTCTTCTCCCTGCTTGAGTTACTAAAGAAACTGAGTTTGTTTTACTCACATTTCATTTTTGTAATTATATGACGTTTCTTTTTAAATAAATGAATATGTCAAGAATGGTTTCTCTTGTTTGGGGGAGGTGATACGCCAGCAGAGTCAAGGTAGGCATTTTCCAAATTTTTGACATGCCGAGCTCAAAAGGTTCGCCATCACTGGTCTAGAGAAAAGAAGACTGGGGGAGACAGGATATCAGGGTTCATCTACAAAAAAGAGTGCTGTAGAGAAGAGGGTGAGGAACCATTTTCCAGGGCCATACAAACTAAAACAAGAAATAATGGCTACAAGCTAGAACAAGAAATAACAGCTACAAGTTGCAGCTACTTAGATTTCTTTTACATACAAGGAATCACATCCCAACTGTAAGATCTGTGCAACAGTGGAACAGTCCACCTATGGAAGCTGTGGGTTCTCCATCTCTGAAGGCTTTTAAGAAGCTGGACAGCCACTTCTCCCGAATGGTTTCACTGGTTTTCCTGCACGTTGCAGAGGCTGATCATCTTTGCTGGTCCCCTCCAACTCCAAAATGGCACAATCCAATTATTCTATACAGCGCATACAATTTATACGGCATTCAATCCTACACGTACAGAGACGAGCCCAAGCCAACGTTCACTCACCAGAACAAACTGGTGAGTGGCTTGATTCTGCATATGGCTCCTCCTTTCAAAGGACAAACTGCACTCCAAACCAAACTCAAACTGGCCAAGTTTTGGAAACTGACAAGGGCTTTGGTTGCCAAACCATTTCATTAATTTAATTGGAACGACGCTTTGGCCATTTTCTTGATTTCAAAAAGGGGACCCTCTTTTCACTGTATGGCCATGCGAGATACAGGAGTTCTCCATTGCAAAAGTATCTGTACCTTGGAGGGTGAGGCAAACTCCTGGCTTGCAGAGTTACACCATCTCATACTGGTTATTTGTGATGGAACGGGAGAGGCAGCAGGCCAGGAAAATGCCAATCAACTAACAGAGAGAGGAAAAGACAGGATTAACTGGATGGCATCAGTTAAACATCTGTTCCTTTCTGTCTACTCAGCTAACCTCAGGCACGGGCAACAGACAGAACCAGAACAAACTGTCATCTTTTGGGATATGCTAAGACTGGGATAAGACCAAAAGAAGAGAATATACGTAGCTCAGGGTTGAACGGTGGAGTCGTGAGCTTGGTTGTTTGCTTGCAGACATTTCATCACCCAACTAGGTAACATCAGCAATGCTAGTGAGTGTGGGGTTTGCTCTCTGTTTATCTACAGTAGCTTGTCCCGCCAGTGTTGGTGGAGGTGTGGTTTTCTCCTTGGTAGCTCCTTGAATAGGGTATTGTTGATTCTTTGTTGGATGTTAATCCCTGCTTATCTGGGCGTTGACTGCTGGAGAGGATGTGTTCTGGTCTTTTTGTTTCCTTCTTAGCTTTTTTATTCTCTCTTTT